CCATGATACGCATTTTAGATTTTCCAAGTACCCGCATCAAGTAAAAAGTCGAAATATCGAAGCAGACAGGTAGCTGTTATTTTCCAGTGGTCTATTCGTTACAGAGTAGTGCTAGTGCCTGTGGCTTTTTTTCGAATGATTGATATATGGAGCGCTTGGTTATAATGATGGGATGAATGTAAAGTATCTTGAATGCCAAAACTCGAATTGCCACAAAACATTGTGAAAAATTGTTTAAAGTGGGACGTTGAGCTGCAAATATCACTCTGAACAGGGGTCCAACTACGGAATACTTGCTCGTAAGGAATCTACCTAACTTGTGTCTGGACTGAAAATGGGGGGTCTTCGAAAGCGGTCAAAATATGCAATATATTTTTTCTGCCAATGACCCACTTTTCACAAAATATGTAGAAGCACCAATTTCAATGCGTGTCAAAGGCAACAATTTAATTGATACTCCCTCCGGAGGAAAAAGAAAATGCTAACATATTCCGCCCCAGAAACTCTCTCTTTCGAGTTTTAAGATCACTCTTCGTGAAAATTTACTCCCATCGCCAGTCGTTTCTCCATAGAATCCCCTGCTCTGTGAAATGATAAGTGCCTGCCGGTTTAAACCTCATGAGGACGGATAGGAAAATCTGGACAACTTAAAAAAGGGGAAGGGATATGTCACGCTTTGGTGCAAACCGAGGCAAAAAGCTGCCTGGTTCGGAGTTCTCGTGGGATACAGAGGCTGGGGGAGAGCCGGATAACGCACCTACGCCATTGTTTCCGGTGAGTTATGATGAGCTTCTGTCATTGCCACTCCTCCAACTTTCCCGTTTCTAGAATCATTCTGCTCTGCGCTGGCTACCTTTCGAGCTGTGATGAAACAAAGAAATGGGCGGCAACTGCTAATTCCTATTATTCCAGAAATACTCATCTCCACTTGCAAAACCGCTTACAGAGGAGGAACGCAGCCAGGTCGACTATTACAGGCGGTTACGAGAGATGATACACGATGGACCCTATTATACAGTGTTGAGCGCATCCCCTTTATCGCATATTGGAGGAGCAGCAGCTTCGAGAAAATCTCAATTTGATCCTTTTCAAGGAATGGCGACGTATGGACAGAGGTATTTGAAGAAGACTCGGACGTTACCAAAACTTTCAGGAAGGCAGTATGGTATGTATTTCTTACATCTGATATCCCTTTTTCTCGTATGAATCCAGACAACCTTGGGGTTATTTGCTCTTCCTGACTTTCTTCTTCCCTTACTTTTGGCGGATTTTATTACGCAAGCTGATGCAAACTCTGTGTATCACTCTTTTGTCTTTACAGTTATGAACTTTTTCCCAAAAGAGCTTTGGTCGACCCTCGACCCAAAATATGCCAGTTTGCAAGCTGGTGGTTCCAACGGACTTGGTTCTCTTTTACGAGGCGGCCAAAAGCGCGGCTTTGAGGACGAAGAAGATGGCGATGGGGACGTTGGTCCGTCTCGGAAGAGAATAGCAGCTGATGAAGAAGATGAGGAAGGATCGGGGGCTGGCGAAAAACGCAAACAGGGAGCTGGAGTGGACGATGAGGATTTGTTGGACGAGGAAGAAGATGAGGGGGAAGAGGGAATTGTTGATGATGATTTCGAAGACGATGAGGAGGATATGGGCGGCGATTATAACGCGGAACAGTATTTCGATGGTGGGGATGATGATGGAGATGGGTACGACGGGGGTGGAGAAGGGGATAATGATACTTATTGATGAGTGCTAGTTCTCCTTGCAGATTGGGAGCATAGCGTTCCCGTTTCCTCTGTCTTTTCTATTTGATACCCATTTTCTTTGCTTTCACGGAATCTACTTGGCTAGGTATGGTGGTATATGACGAACCATGCTCGCTGGTAATTACCATGTGTTGCGAATTCCATCCTGTTAATTTCTTAAATGTGTTATACAGTATGTTTACTAAATGTGCTAAACAAACATGGTCAGGCATATTATAAATCCATTCGTAGGTAGAATTTGAGACGGATTGCCTATCACGTAATTGTCGCAGTCACATTTGACTCTAAATAAAACAATTTTAAAAGAAAGAAAAACAATCGTATAGTTTATCTACTACTAGAAAATGGCCGTCTCTACGGAGGCGTATTTCAAAAGTTCATTCGCACCCTAGTAAATTACCTTGAATTTGTATTTCAGATCGTGGAAACCTAATAGGCTTCCTGCATCGGAAGAATGTGTAAGGTTTAGTTATAGATGCGAGTAAATCACCTATTGAAACCCCTGAAGAAATAGGCATCAATAAGCATAGGCAACAGCGACTTGAAAAATGATTACCACCGAACTTACGAGTGTGGAACGGACTTTTGAAGTGCGACTTCGAAGTGGTAGTTAATATACTCAGGTGATGACCTCAGTTTCTCTTTTTTGTTCGGCTAATTTTCAGGATCTCCGACTTCCGCGTTGATCAAATCCATTATCAGATCAACCTCATAATGCAGCATCAATGGCTTGTGCTAACTCCAACAACGCGGGCCATGCCTCCGCTCGAACAGCTATAATTCTCTACGGTTCAGAAACAGGAAATTCCCAGGATGTTGCCGAGGAGCTTGGACACCTGGCGGAGCGGCTGCACTTCTTGGCGCATGTTTGCGAACTAAACGCCATTTTACCTGTGCGGTGATGGCGCATACCGGAATTTAGGGGAATCAAAGCTCACTTTTGGTATAGGAATCTCTAAATGACTATGACGTGACGATATTCGCTATCTCAACGACTGGACAGGGAGATATCCCTGCCAACGCTCGATCATTCTGGAGGTCATTGCTTCTAAAGAAACTTCCGCCAACATTTCTCTGCGGGGTGAACTTTGCGCTGTTTGGATTGGGGGATAGTTCGTACCCAAAGTATGATTGAAAGGTTCTCGTTATTTACGTATCAAATTACTAATTACTCTGGTGGGGGATATTAGGTTCAACTGGGCGTCTCGAAAACTTTACAAAAGACTGTTGCAGCTTGGTGCAATTGAGCTGTGCCCATGCGGCGAAGCAGATGAACAGCATCCGGAGGGGTATACATTCCTGAATACTCTCAACTTCGGCTTCTCCGTACTGACAGGGCAATCTTAGCCTCGAAGGCACCTTCGTCCCGTGGTCGGTAGATCTAAGGAACAATCTATTGAACAAATTTCCACTGGCGCCTGACCGACATCCTTTACCAGATGACGTCCAGTTACCACCGAAATGGGTACTGGCGCACCAAGATTCTAACTCAATAGAAGGCGCTATTACGTATCCGAGCACAGCGCTATCAGAAGCTCAACCTGGAGGACAAGGATCTCCCAGCATCCCTTCGAACTTCTCCCACGACCTGCGACCCATCCCGAATACTGTCTCTGCAACATTAGTGGCGAATGATCGACTCACACCACAAACCCATTGGCAAGACGTCCGTCACCTTATTCTAAAGATCTCCGAACCAATTCGATATGCGCCAGGCGATATCCTGTGCGTGACTCCCAGGAATTTCGACAGTGATGTGAACTCACTGATATGCATGATGGGCTGGGAGAATAACGCAGACACTCCCTTGTGTTTTGTCCCCAATGCTAAATACGCGTCAGGCAACAACGAATCCTCTCCCGAGATCCCATTTCTGTTGAAATCGCCCGGTTTTACCCTCAGAATTCTACTCACGGACTATTTAGACATAATGGCAATACCGCGACGTTCCTTCTTTTCCAATATTGCCCACTACACTGAGGATCCCATGCATAAGGAGAGACTCCTGGAGTTTGCAAATCCAGAATACATAGATGAGTTTTACGACTACACCTCGAGACCCGTCGGTCCATCCTCGAAGTTCTGCACGAATTTGAATCCGTGAAGATCCCTTGGCAAAACGTTTGTACAGTATTTCCTACCCTCCGCGGACGGCAATTCAGTCTTGCCAGTGGTGGGAAATTGAAAACCCTAAGAAGTTTACCCGGTGACAGTCCAACAAATTCTGGCACTCGCTTTGACCTCCTCGTCGCCATCGTCAAATACCAGACAGTAATTAAAAAGATTCGTGAGGGCGTATGTACGCGCTACCTTGCGGTGCTTCGTCCTGGTAGCACATTGAAAGTCCAAGTGCAAAAAGGTGGACTGACTTCCTCAATGAGACAGTTCTTGGAGCCTACAGTTCTGATCGGGCCTGGCACGGGTGTCGCGCCACTGCGTTCAATATTATGGGAAAAAGCCGCCATGGCGACCACATATCGAGAGAAACATGGCCTTGACGTACCAGTACCCATAGGCCCTATCATCCTGCTGTATGGCGGGAGGAATAGGAGAGCAGATTTCTTTTTTGAAGAGGAATGGGAGGCGTTGAAAGATGTGCTGGATCTTACGGTATTGACGGCGTTCTCAAGAGACCAGAAACAAAAAATATATGTACAGGACCGCATTCGTGAACATGCTAGATTGATTTCTAGAATATTGCATGATTTGGGTGGCACAGTCTACATTTGTGGATCATCAGGTAAAATGCCCCAAGCGATTCGTGAAGCGCTTATCGACGGCTTTCAGGTGTTTGGCCAGGAAAAAGAGTCTGGTGAGAGGAAGAAGTACAGTCGAGAGGAGGCAGAGAAGTATTTGACGGACATGGAGAAAGAAGGACGATATAAGCAGGAGACTTGGTGAGGTGCAGCGAATAATGAGGTGGGGGAAAGAACATTCAAATCATACCATCATATTGAGCTTGTTTTAAAAAATATACCCAGATTTTTAGACCAATTTTGATTATGTAGATGATACAATTTGTTCCGGCGTGTGGGCTACAATAGCATCCTGGATAATCGGCGGGAAAGCAACAGTTAGTTGGTCAGAAATTGCATGCAGTTTATTCTTCGTGCACTTGTATATTATGGAACATCTCGTAGAAAGTTTCGCAATTTGATGAATCACGTGGTAGTTACTGAAACCTGATCAGCTCGCCGGTAAACGTCGGTTGCCGCGACTATTCCGGACAATCTCAATGAACCGCGATACACAACTCGTAACCACCACCACAGAGCCCTTCTCCGGCTGAATTTCGATAACCACCACTTCATTGATAGATCGAGGCTCTGGATTGCCTGTGCGATTTACAGTTTCCCACAATGGCTGCTCTTCGGATACTGGTGCCCGTAAAGCGGGTCATTGACTTCGCCGTATGTGATTTTACCTCCTCTCATTCTGTTCTCTTTAGTTTCAGGGGAATTACTTTTTTTTTTTTTTTTTTCATGTGTTCCTGTTGCCTTTGTAGCTGAATTGAGCTGTTGTCCGCCACGCGCTCACAAGCGCCATCCCATGCGCGATCGTACCACTAACACACTCCCAATTTCATATATACAGATAAAACCCCGCATCAACAAATCTCAAACAGGTGTCGAAACGGCCGGTGTCAAGCACTCCCTCAATCCATTCGATGAGCTTTCCATAGAAGAAGCAGTGCGCCTACGCGAACGCAAAGGTCCCATGTCTGTTTCCGACATCCTTGCTATCTCCGCCGGCGGGCCAAAATGCGTAGACACCCTCCGAACCGCTATGGCCATGGGAGCAGACCGATCAATCCACGTCGATATACCCGAGAAACCAGACCAGGCAGGCCTAGAGCCATTGACTGTGGCCAAGCTGCTGAAGAATGTTGTCCAAAGGGAAAATATCAACCTGGTGCTTTTAGGCAAACAGGCTATTGATGGAGATCAGGGACAGACGGGCCAGATGCTGGCCGGCCTCTTAGGCTGGCCACAGGCAACCCAAGCGAGCAAGGTTGATGTGAAAGATGATGCGGGTATCGTAGAGGTCACGAGAGAGGTTGACGGCGGCGTGGAGACGCTCAGGGCCAAGTTGCCCATGGTGATTACCACAGATTTGCGGTTGAACGAGCCGCGCTATGCGAGTTTGCCGAACATTATGAAAGCAAAGCGGAAGCCGTTGGAAAAGAAGACTTTGGCAGATTATGAAGTTGAGGATACAAAGAGGCTGAAAACTTTGAAGGTTACGGGTATGTGTAGCTTCCCCTTACTGTCTGAGGTTTATTCTACGTATCGGGTTCCAAATTGAATGAAAACTAACTCCCCTTCAATAGAGCCACCCGCCCGACAGGGAGGCGGCAAGGTAGAAGATGTTGATGGAATGATCTCCAAACTTAAAGAGCTTGGTGCTCTATAAATATTTTCACTTTCCGTTTCATTACCCGGGCCGTTTGTGAATACGTACAACTCCAGTTTCCTTTCAAGATAACGTATTTCATTTTCTCTATTACCCCCTTTTTCCTTTTTGTATCCTACGATTTATAAAAGATCTGTTCAAAGCATCTTACATGCGACATGATGTAACATATCTACATATCTCTTACCTTAGACACCATAGCCAATCATCAAAAAAACCTGCCTCATCTTCGCATGCCCTTTCGTGGCAGGATTTCTGCTTTTGGTTACACCCCGCATCTCCTTCAGAGCTTGGTGTTCCGGGTGGACTTCACACATTTTCAGTCAAAAGTTACAAGAGAGGAAAATGAACCTCTCCATATTATATTGGCCAGCAGGAAGCTCTAATTGCTTACAATACTTAACAAAATATAATCTAGCTGCTAGTTAGAGTGAAAAGCAGCAGGATGATATACGGAGTTCTCACCCCTGTTTTCAACCAGCATGGAATACAGAACTGCTCTTCTAACGGAAAAGATAATCACCATAAACGAGTCACAGGTGGCCCTTGCAATTTGAGGAATATACATTGTCAGGTGAACAAGTCAGCAGCGCCATAAATCCGCCACCAAATGCCACTCAATTGATATTCCAAAGGTAACCATAATTCTAAAAGAACGCCATTTTTACACTCGAATCCACGAATAACTCAACAGTTTCAGCGAATTCAATAGGTAATAGAGGCAAATATGAAAATGACTCTGAAGAATTCAGATACAATCGAAGGCATTAAGAACACTCTCGTCACAGCTGCAGTGTGAAAAATTCTCAATCTGTCGTATCTCCTGTGCTACTAGCACTCTTATATCTTACAACGGGTTCTTGGCTCAGATGGGGGTGGCTGAGAGATCTGGGGTTCAAAATTTAGAAATTTTAATCATCCGTCTTCTCAGTTCCAAGGTTGGTCATTGGATCAAGCTGAACTCGAGAGAAGCTGTTAGGCCACTGGGGCAAAAGAGCTCGATCACCAGCAGCGCCATTGCTGGTACCAAACCACAACCCAGTGGTAGCAAATCTCGTGACTCCTTCCTTCCCTGGCCTAGATTGGTTGGTTGCACGCGCAACCTTATCTCAACGACCGATCGTCGAACTAGCTCGATGCGATTTAGTGCCAGTTTCGGCGCCTGCTCGGCATGGGGGACTACTACGTACATATGATGTCGCCATTCTTTTCTCGCAATTCGAGCACAGTCGGTTATTGAAGACTACGAGTATGGTATGCCGCTCGATCCCATGATGGGTGAATCCTTTTCTGCCCTTTACTCAATCTAAGGGCCAAACTCAAGACCTTATTATCCCGATAGGCCGGATCTTGGCTGCATTCATGCGAGAACCCGGCAGGGCTCGTCGAATTCTGTATATCGCGTTTGACCCCCTATTATATCTGGAGTGAAAGTTGAGTGAGTGTCCGTAAGCCTATGGTCGCCAATTTTTGCACACCTTTGGCTAACCTAAACCCCAAAGTTGGTGGCATCACTGGTTGATTTAGGTGGTCCAAGTTAACCTCACACTGACCTGGAGACTGCCAATTGAATGTATGTTCTATCAATCTGTCATAGAACTATTTCACTCGCTTTTCCTTCTCCTCTTCTGAAAGGTGCCATACCACTGCGAGTTGGTGCAGCTTTAATTTACACAAAATATGGCGTCTCGAAGCTGTACATTTTCTGGTCTCATTGTCAGAGCCAAACCATTTACCCTTAAAACAGGATTCCAACCATTTAGATATCGGCAATCTTGCCAGGGAACATGGTCAAAATTCAAACGAAACTGAGGGCGTCTCCTGCAAAAGAGAGACATAATGCCTATCTAGCTGAGCAAAAAAAGGATTCAAAAGTCCGCCGCAGCAGCAGACTCCAATCTCTTCAGAAGCATCAAGATTTTGAGCAGCCATCCCTACCATCGCTAGGCCATCCGACGCTATTTACTATCGGCCACGGAACGCGCACACTTCCTGAGCTTATCGAGCTCCTCCAATCTGCCCATGTCACCAAACTTCTAGATATCCGCTCTATTCCACGGGTCATTCACAAATCCCCAATTCAACCGTGATACCCTCGAGAGCTCTTCAGAGTTGGATTCTGCCCATATCAGCTATTTGTGGTTCGGACCTTTGCTGGGTGGCAGACGCAATGCAAAACAGCCGAAGCTTGAAGAGCATACTACAATCCGTGTCGCTGCGTTCCGAAATTACGCAGGCTATATGCTCACCCAGTCATTTAAGAACGGTTTGGCCGAATTAAAAGGCATTGCAGAAAACCTTCAAACTTCAAATGAGGGATATCTTGCAATCATGTGCAGCGAGACGGTCTGGTGGCGATGCCATCGACGGATGATTGCAGATATACTCGTAACTCAGGGGTGGAACGTCCAGCATCTAGGTGTTAGGAAAGAGCCAATGGAGCATGAGAGGTGGGGAATTGCAAGAGTCGGTGATGAAGGGAACCTCATTTATGATGGCCGTGAGCGGCGCTCGAAAAGGAATAAATGCTTGAGTTGAGATCCACGCAGCAAATGTAATGTCATATCTGAAATTACTTGATGGTTTGCGGCTACTAACGACAATTTGTTGATTTGATCTACATCTCCTATAACACCTTTACAATTACAATATATCCTGGATTGCCTGGCGGTTCAAGCTCTGCAAATATGGCTAATAACGGATTCATCAGAAAAATTGAGAGCTGTCACTCTGGCGGTGATGTTACCAACAAGAGGCGCATTATTTCAAACCTTGGTTTGGGGCTCGGTGTCTTCTTTATGAAATTGCTACTAAAATGAAAGTAGAAAACCTCAATAATATCATGATTACATGATATCCTGCTTTGACCCTGGTATATCCATCTCTCCTCAACTTGACTGGGAATAGGGGATTTGAATTTACTGTGGCCAGAAACCTCCATCGTTTGATAGGGTAATAGCTGTTACGAAAGAGGGATGCGTGCATGACCATTCTAAGTGTATTTTATTACTGAAGCTGAAGCCCCTCTTAATTCTCTCAGCATGGGTATTTCACAGCGGATGCAAAATGAGCCTGTTTCCGCCTTCCGTCTTCAAACATATTGGCTGCCAGTATTACTCTTGGATCCATATTAATGTGCTTCTTTGCGCTACCATCAAGTTGTATTTCCTTAACTTCAGCAATACAAAAACTTGTTAGAGGTTTCGACAGCTCCTTGACAACCTCAGGTGCATTAGTTCCAACAACTTGGACTCTGCGCCCTCATCCGCTAGTTTTCCATCTACAATATAAATTCAAATATTACACCAGCTGACTTTTACATTCCTTATCTTTATACAACCGTCATACGAGTTATAATCACTCAAAAAGAAAATGGCCTTCTTTGAACATAATTTCTACCAACTTCAGATCTTCTAATACTATCTTCAGGGCATGCCAAAATCTGGGGTTACCTCTACTAGATTGGGCAATGTGGCTCCCTTGAGCGATTTGGGACTTTAGGAGCCCCTCTCAGCTTTGTCCCAGTGTGATAGTGATATGCCAACTCCTTTCTTAATTCAATGTCGTTTCCTAATCACGGCTTTTATGATTTCTATCCACTTTATCTGCTAGTATTTTGCTCACCATACCACAACCATTGAAATATCAAAGATCACAATCATCAATTTGAATTTTTTGTTCAAATAGCTACATAACCTTATTTGGATTTTTTTGTTTTTCCTTTGGAAAGTTCATCGTAACTCATTTTTTTTTTTCAACCTCAGAGCCTAGCAAGTTCAGAATCTCAAACAAAGCATTACTTATTATTTCAATAAAAGTTGAACAGGAAGCATAATCATTTAGATACTAGTAGAGTATATCCTATTTTAAAATTTTTTGAGTTTGTTTCTGTCAGCCAGCTACGTTTGACACAAAGATTTGGATTTTAATTCATGAAATTTCAATTTTCAACTCCGACGCTGTGTCGTGTCCTGCTCAGGCAGCAATGAGTCACGCCACATTATTTAGCCTGGTCAGATCTCAAGATCCACCCTTCCTTGCAAGTCTTTCAGAGATGATATCTCCTTACAATGTCAGGCCAAATTAATCCAGACATCCTAGGGAGCTTAGCAATAACACGTACTGAAAGACAAAACCTCCTCCACTACAAAGCCAAATTCAAGCAAGATCGGAAAGAGGCGTGAAAAATGATACATTTGGACGGCAGCAATTTGGAAGGGGGTGGCCAACTCGTCCGCAATGCGCTCACTCTCTCTGCATTGACGGGAAGACCAGTGACAATCAGCAACATACGAGGGAAGAGGAAAGGCCCTCGGGGTTTGAGGCGCTCTCATACAGCTGCTATACAGTTCCTCGCCGAAGTTTGTGGCGCGCATATTGTTGGTGCTACAGTGGGATCCCCCGAGATTACATTCTATCCCCGAGATACTGAAAATGCATTATTGAATGGTGGAACGGAAGGTGACGAGTCACCGTCTGTACTGCAAGTGAGGGCACGGTTGCATCCCATCCCTTTAACATCTCCAATCCAATCCGAATACAACATCCGCCTTACAACTCCTGGTTCTGTCTTCCTCATCTTTCAGGCCTTATATCCCTACCTCATGTATGCCGGCGTTCGCCTACACACTAAAGGGGAGGGCGTGAGCGTCACACCGGCTAGCAGGGTGATCAAGTTGAACATCACCGGCGGCACAAATATATCGTTTTCCCCGACGTATGACTACGTATCTCAGGTTCTCATTCCTACCTTCGCAAAGTTGGGCCTACCAAGTCTCTCTGTTAAATTAAATCGCCGCGGGTGGAGTACCGGCACAGTCCAGATTGGCTCAGTGTCATTTGAAATTGAGCCTCTTGCTATCTCCAGTGTGAAGAGGGTTCCAGCAGGACAAACAGAATCTTCCTGCTTTTTGCCTGTTAGGTATCCCCGCATCAGTTTGGAAAATTTGGATCCTGGATACATCACCCGGGTCGATATCACAGTCCTAGCGCCTGATACCACTCTTCGCCAAACTGCAACATTAAAGCATTCCAAAAAGACCCATCATCGATCTCACAAGAACAGAAAGCACCGACAGCACTTTACGAGCCATCCTGAGAACAAACCTTTTAAAAGAACTACATTTGGTGAATCGGAATTTGATGTGGAAGAATCTGAAGGACTAGAACCTTGGTCGTCAGGGGGTAGGGGGTTATATGACTCTCCCTCGCTTCAGTCAATTCGTGCTTTTTTAGAGGATGCTACAATGAAATCGGTAACCAGATCTCTAAGGGTGTTCTCTGATAATAATGCCGTAGCAACCAAGCAACCATCAGCGGATGAAACGCCGGTTGTGAGAATACACACCACAGAGCCAACTTATGACCCATCGCACATTTACATCCTTCTTGTGGCCCATACATCTACAGGATTTCGACTGGGTAGGGGTCAGTTATACTCCGAATATCAACCCAAAGAGAGGAATAAGGAATCCTGCTTTCCAAACGCCGAGGAACACCTCGAGACTTTGCTCTACGGGATGGCAAATGAATGTGTAGCGGGCTTGATGGAAGAATTTACCGCTGTGACTGACGAAGAGCCAAATGACATCCCAAAAAGGGGGACTAAAGGTTGTTTAGACACATTTATGAGAGACCAAGTTGTTGTATTTCAAGCCTTGGGAGAACTGGACGAAGAAGGGAAGGGCTGCAAATCTGGCAACCAGACCAAGGAACCGGGTCTCAGCCTGCATTCCCTCACAGCAATGTGGGTCTGCGAGCGAATCCTCGGGGTAAAGATGTAAATCCTGGCCATTCCTATATCTCTACTATATATAAGTAATCCATACATACCAAGTTTAGACTCTAAT